TGGGTATCCAAAGCTTCTCAATTGAAGGTGACTCAGCCAATACTATAAGATGGTTGGAGCAACAGGAAACTGGACCTTGGAGACTTAGTCACTTCCTATCAGAGGCAAGGGACCTCCTGGCTCCTTTGAATGTTTCTCTAACCTAGATCCCAAGGGAACTAAATGTAATGGCAGATGGTGTAGCAAAATTAGGAGTTATTCTAGAGTCTCTGTACTGTGATTCCTGCCCTCCTGTGTAATTCTCAAGGGACTCACCCCTCTCTTGTATTTGTACACACTCTTGTGTGCCTCTCCTTTCTTCAATAAAATTGTTAACTTTTCTCAAAAAATAATTTTCATAAGAAAATTATAAACTTCATGTTTAAGTCTAGAAGAAGAAAAGGTGGAAGAAGAAGAAGAAGAAATGTGTTGATTAGACAAAATTTTAAGTTCTTCCCTTACTTATTGGTTTAGATTTTGAAGTCATTGAGGGTTCAATACAGCAGTTAGCAATGTTTGTGTTGATTAAACCCTAACAAATAAGAAAATAATAAAAAGAAATTAGTTTATAAACACAAAAAAAAAAATGAATATTTTTCTTTACTAATGTCTATTTTATTACACAGTATGCAAAACTGCTTGGCGACTGGGCGAGGCGAGCCTCCAAGGGCGCCTTGTCGCCTAGGCACCCGCCTAGGCGTCACCTTGACAACTATGAGGCTAAGGAAAAAGAAAAAAGAATCACGAGGCAGAGGATTTTAAGTTAGAGAGTAAATGAGGCTCATGATTTCCTGAGATCAGTCGAATCAAAAGGGGAGGATAATGGAGAGGGTGATGAGGTGGCTTTTGAGAAGAATGTGGTATTGGAGTTGGGAGAGGATCAATTATAGATTTAATGATCTGAAGGACTGTAAGAAGCTTCCTAACACTGTAAGACAATTTAGAAGCCGTAAAGAACATAGAGTGACTCAGTTTTCTACAGTTTTTGCAATGTTGAAAGGAGGGCTGTTTGAGGTTGGACCTAATAAAAAGGTGAAGAAACCAAAGAATTTTAAGAGACATTGGGGTTTTCTGTTCTTGCCTCTGAAGAAGATGAATAAATTGGTTAAATTTTTGAGTGGTGCTAAGTTGGTGTCCTGTGTTCATCAGTGTGAGTTTTGCTTGTTAGCTTGAAGGTCCAGTGAGGATGAATTCATGTGTTTGGGTGGAGTGGTGTTTGAGTCTAGTTTGAAGTTGTTATTGTGGATGTTTAATCTGTGGTTGGTTGGTTCTGTTTTCATTCTGGTCTTGGTGTTTTTGTCTTTTTGGGGATCTGGTTTGGATTATTCGAGTTGAGGAGGTTTGGAGATTGGTTTTTAGGGGGTGAAGGTTGTTTCTTTTCTTCTCTTGGGTGACTGCTGGTCATCTTCCTTTCTTGTAATCTTCTTTTTATAATAATAATTTTTATTTTGCATTCAAAAAACTCTCTAAAGAAAGTATGCAGCACAACAACCATTGTTTTGAAAGGCTTATAGCTTGGAGCAAGTCAGAAATCTGCCTTGAGCCAATAGGTGATGAAATGAGAGAAAGTAGACTATGGTTCAGTTGCATGCATAGAAGACCACCTGTGGCACCCGTAAGAAAAAAAAAAAAAAATGATCAGTTACAAGTTGAAGGGACTAGAAGCCTAGAAGGGTTAGGGGCAGACTAAAAAGGACATGGATTGAAGTAGTAAGAAATGATTAAAGTGCTCATAATTTAACAATGGATATTAGCATTAAACAGAACAGAACAGTGAAACAGGATTCATGTAGCCAACCCCATATGGTTGGGGTA